GAGTGATAACAGTGATACAAGATAGGCTGAGCTGTATTTCGAAATCGCCGACACGTGCGGCTCAAGCGAGATAATGCCTGTTGAGCCTCAATGGCGTGGTCGATCTCATCTGGCGGGAGATCGACAACATGTGCATGCTGGCAATGCACACAGAGATTGCGACATATGGCGGTAAAGATCTCGACGGGAAGATCGCCAATGGAAAGCTGCCGTCGTTTCCGCCAAAAGAAAGGAACCTCTGTCTGGAAGATTGGGCTGGGAGACCAGATATTCCCTCCGTGGAGGACATCCCGGTCCATCCTGGCAACGAGATGCATGGTATGGTATGGTATGATATGATGATCAAGTTAGGCTGTAGGTCCAGGGACGTGGGTATAAGGCGAGTGTAGGGATGATTGCTGTACAAGCTGGACAAGAAGGATTCGAACAGCGAAAGTTGGACAGTGATATAGGAACAGCAGAGGCCTTGAAACACGGAATCATGAACAATGGATGTAGATAAGTACTCCTTCGCCCCCTCGAGCGGAGAAGGGGTCGAGTGACTGGAATAGGAGTTGGTTGCTTAGATGCGGATATTGAAAGCGGAGGTGTGATCGCGGGAGCATCAACAAGGTATAATGGATCTTACGATGGCGTCGTCAAGGACCAGCCCTCGAGCAGCTGAATTACTAAATCGCAATTGGGGTCTTGTACAGTAGAAAGGATCGAAGCTAAAGTCCAAGCCAATCGTATCTTGTGTCGCAATCACTCATCCAGCACCCACGGGTCCGTGAGCTGCATGCTTTACCAGGGATTGAACAGCTAGGATCATGACAAGTAACAGTGGTTTGAGCTCTTTTTTTGGCGTCTTTTGCTTACTGTATATGAGTCGACCAGGAAGGTAGTAGTTTCGGGCATACGGGACGAGCCAAATGAAGCATCTGATGATGTTGGTCGGGGCAGAGCATGGTCTGTGTTGACAAGTTGAAGAAGGATGGATGAAAAGAGAAGGAGAATTATGTGAGAGAAATATAGAGTCGCCGAGGACTGAAACATATAAAAAACAAATATATCTCGATATCCCCTTGCATCGTGAATACTACAGTACGTACTAACAAAGAAAAAAGAAACGAAAGGAGAAGATGCTGTGCCACGTTGTTTGGATCAACTCGACGTACAAGGTCGAGCTCGCGAGTCTCAGGACGCACGCGCAGCAGCAGGTGGACCAAAAATCTCCACATCCCGCTGATGATAATGGCCTCATTCTTGATCAGCCAAGCTTTTCCAATTAACAACCGTGCATCTCGTACCTCGTCCTATCAATATCCCTCACGATATAGGGACACGAAAGTGGAGGTTTCGCTGCTTCGCGTATCGAAGCGCAGAAACAGCAATGTTACAGTGAGAACCCAACGCCCGTTTCTATCTCCATGCATCAAAACTGAACTAAAAACGTGCAATGGTAACATCGCCTGTGGGAAACTTTCAGGAACAGGGACGGACGGAGGAGTCTAGTGCGGAACGAGACCGAGACCTTGGTTAGTGCTGAGATGATGGGTCGAACCGTGGTCTGATGTTGGGCAAATAGTCTTTCATCGCCTGCGTAATTAATCCATCAGTAACTGACTCGTGGTTGACACCTGCTGCAAGATCCCGCTGCCATTCAACGGCTGGCGTCAGAGTTTAGAGCCCGCATTCGTTGCTTTTTGCTTTTCTAGAAGGACTTGATGTTGTTTTGACAGCTTGGGAAAGATGAGCAGTCACTTTTGGCATCAGAGCCATTCATTGTTAAGCTGTGGAGGTGTAGATGATGAGCACGTGACCTCGCATTGGGGCGCGTCACCTTCCCAGCTACCACTCGCGTCTCACTGAAACAGCCCGCGTAAAGCACGTCCAATTCATCCACCCACCCACATCACAGCTCGATTCGATTGTCACACAAATCGTAAGCTGTACAAGATGCCCGAGTTCACCGGTGAGTCTCTATTTTAACTATGGTATTACTGCTGCTCTTGCTAACGACCGTAGAGGCGGATACCATTCGTATTCTCGTTGCGACCGACAATCATGTCGGTTATGAAGAGCGAGACCCGATTCGTAGGGATGACAGTTGGAGAACTTTCGATGAAATTTTGAACCTTGCCCGGACTGAAGATGTACGACCCATCGCCATTAGTGTCAATCATGGCTTCTAACATGAATAGGTCGATATGGTTCTCCTCGCTGGCGATCTCTTCCACGACAACAAACCTTCCCGAAAGTCCCTTTACCAAGTGATGCGTACACTCCGACAAAACTGCTTGGGCATGAAACCTTGTCCTCTCGAATTTCTGTCCGATGCCGCATCTGTCTTTGAAGGTGCTTTCACGCATGTCAACTACGAAGATCCCGATATCAACATTTCCATCCCCGTCTTTTCGATCCATGGCAATCATGATGATCCTTCCGGTGAAGGCAACTTCTGTTCTCTTGATCTCCTACAAGCGAGCGGACTACTCAATTACTATGGCCGTGTCCCCGAGGCAGACAACATCGAGGCCAAGCCGATTCTGCTACAAAAGGGTCTTACAAAGCTTGCCTTGTTTGGGTTGAGTAATGTTCGAGATGAGCGCATGTTCCGTACTTTCCGAGATCACAAAGTCAAGTGGTTCCGACCTGAAACCCAGATGACTGACTGGTTCAACTTGTTGGCTGTTCACCAGAACCACCATGCCCATACAGCCACATCCTACCTCCCCGAGAATGTCTTGCCCGATTGGCTTGACCTTGTAGTCTGGGGTCACGAGCACGAGTGTTTGATCGACCCTACGCAGAACCCCGAAACAGGCTTTCATGTCATGCAGCCAGGTTCATCCGTCGCAACTTCACTGGTTCCCGGTGAGGCGGTTCAGAAGCACGTTGCTATTGTGAGCGTCACAGGCAAAGACTTCAAGGTTGACAAGCTACCACTCAAGAGCGTACGTCCCTTTGTCACACGGGAAGTCATCCTTTCGCAAGACAAGCGCTTCAAGGGACTTGACAAGAAGAAGGAGAACCGTCAGGATGTCACACGAAGACTGATGGAGATTGTTGAGGAGATGATTGAGGAGGCTAATGCGGATTGGGAGGCCATTCAAACAGACGAAGAGGCTCTAGAAGAACGACCTCTTCCGCTCATTCGTCTGAAGGTGGAGTATACGGCCACAGAAGGCGGTCAGTTTGAGGTTGAGAATCCCCAGAGGTTCTCAAATCGATTTGTTGGTAAGGTGGCCAACACGAATGATGTTGTCTACTTTTACCGCAAAAAGACGTCACAGCGTAAGTCAATGTTGCTGTCAGCAAGAGATGTCACTAACACAGCCCAGGCAAAGCAAATGCTGCAAACCCAACGGAGGCCCTCGAGGCCCTCGATGGTGCTGACGACATGGTCAAGGTGGAGAATCTGGTACAAGACTTTCTGTCGGCGCAATCACTCAAGGTCCTTCCTCAAGGACCGTTCGGTGATGCTGTGGCTCAGTTCGTGACAAAGGATGACAAACATGCGATGGAACTATTTGTTTCAGAGCATCTGACAGGGCAAGTCCGATCTATGCTGGGCTTGGAGTCCGACGATGAAGATCTCAACAGTGCCATGGATATCTACCGAATGAGGATCGAGCAGCAGCAAGCTAGCGGCATGCAAACAGCACGAGCGGAGAGAAAACGAGTTCTCAAACCAAAACCAGCCACCTGGGACAGTGACTTTGATGGTAGCTGGGAGAATGAGCCCGATGCCTGGACATACGAGGATGAACAACAGGCCGAGACCTCTTCACGCGCATCTGCACCCGCACGAAAGACTGCCCGCGGACGAGCCAAGGCGACTCAGCAAGATGACGACATGGACTTGATGGACGATGATGAGCCACTCCCTGCACCAGCCAAGAAATCAGCAGCCAAGCGAGCAACACGCGCCACAAAAGCGGCACCAGCCAAAAAGGCCCCTGTAAAGGCTCCTGCAAAGGGACGAGGCCGCAAGGCATTCGAAGACAGTGAGGACGAGGAAGAAGACGTGATCATGGAATCGGAAGAAGAGCCTGCACCTCCTCCACCAAAGACACGGCGAACCGCTGCGAAGAGCACCGCCAAGGCCCCGGCGACTCGAGGAGCGGCCAAGAATGCACGACAGACAAAGTTGAACTTTTCACAATCGCAGAAGGGCGGGACGCAGAGTAAAGCTGTTGAGATTAGCGATGATGAGATTTCGGATGATGATGCGTTTGAGCCGGCGCCTGCGACGACACGAAGTACGAGGAGGAGATAGAGCTGTGTGGAAGAATACCCTGACATGTAAGAAAAGTATAAAGAGTCATGATGAATTGAGCAAGCTGTCAATTACAGCATACGATACTTGACGTCCCTGTTCTTCGAAGTGGTTTGATTTCTAGGCCTGCGATATCCACTGGGCAACAACCGTCTTTCAAGGCGATGATCTTCACCTTGATGGCATTTACAAAACTTCACTCCATGCCCCAGTGTATGTCGCTTGTGCTTGACCGATGTCTCACAACGATGCTCCTTGCAAGAGCAACATGATGAGTCTCAAACTTCCACATCGGCTAGACCAGTGACTAACTCCTATTCCCATTATCAATTAGACTCATCGCAACAAGTTCTATTCTTTGTTAAGTCATATCCTGTCTCACGCCTCATCCGACATCGCCTCCCACTTCGGATCCGAAGCCCGAAGTCATGATGCCGCAGCGGGCCGCATATCTCCATGTCTATGCGGGGTAGCTTCAAAGATGGTCTAGCTCCCAACTTCTCACTCAGCTTTCAACGAACTCTGACTGTTTATCTCACCTTGGAAACGAAAAGAGGCGCCGAGGCATCCGCTGGGGAAAGCATTGAAACATTTAATACTGTGTAGAAATGGGCTGGCTTGGTTTAGTTGCCCCGCTCGTTGCTGAGCATGCCATCCTCACCTGATCTATATAACCACTCCTCTACCCCAACTCCAACAACATCCTTCTGTATCTGTGTTTCTGTTTAAGTGATTCAAAATGGCTGCAGCTGGTCATATCCGTCTTGGAACCGCCTCCCCAGGCACCCAATCCTCCACCTCCTCCACCATCGCCCTCATCGACACCCTCGCCCAGCGCGCATCCTCATCGCACATCGACATCCTCCTCCTCCCCGAGGCCTTCATCGGCGGGTATCCCCGCGGCAGTTCCTTCGGCTGCGAGATTGGCAATCGCAGTGCAGAAGGACGCGATGAATTCGCTCGCTACTTCGATTCCGCCATTGATCTCGGCGACACCGTTGGGCCTGGCGGCGGTGGTGCGGGGATCAAGTGGGTGAAGAGACAGCTTGGCGAGGAGGATGAGGTCCGTGGTGATGGCTCGCGGGAGGAGTTGGAGCGTATTGCGAGGGATACGGGTGTTTTTATCGTGGTGGGGTGTATTGAGAAGGCGGGTGGGAGCTTGTATTGCTCTGTTGTTTATGTCTGTCCCAAGGAGGGTATGCTTGGAAAGCGTCGCAAAGTCCTTCCTGTGAGGCTCTCTCTACTGTGAATTGATATGAGGTGAACTAACGGTTACAGACTGGCTCTGAGCGCCTCATCTGGGCTCAAGGCTCGCCCAGCACCCTCCGCGCCGTAACCACCACCATCCGCGGCATACGCATCAATCTCGCCGCCGCAATCTGCTGGGAGAACTACATGCCCCTCCTACGCCAATCGCTCTACGCGCAGAACATCAATCTCTACCTCGCGCCCACAGCCGATAACCGCGATGCCTGGCTTGGACTCATGCGAACAGTCGGTGTTGAGGGACGCTGTTTCGTCGTCAGCAGCAACATGTGCGTTCCCAAGAACACTGCGTCCTCTGAAACAAACGGTGTGAGACAGCGTCGTGGATCGTGCATGACAGAGGAAGGGTTTGAGATTGCGCTGCCGAAATCGCCGAGCCGAAGAAGACGCAAGTCGGTGTTTGACGAGGATGGGAATGAGATTGTTTTGGGGTGTGATGACGACGGTGTGAACATTCAACCTCCTCCTGCAAAGAGCGCTGTCTCTTCTGGAAAACCAGAGTTTCTTTCTCGTGGTGGTTCGTCGATTGTCTCGCCGTTTGGAGATGTCATCGCTGGACCGCAGTGGGAGGATCCAGATGGCTTGATCTTTGCGGATGTTGATTTCCGTGATTGTATCAGGGGTCGTCTTGATCTTGATGCTGCGGGGAGTTACTCGCGAAACGATGCCTTCAAGTTTAGCGTTGAGGGGTTGAACTTGGATCCTCTTCCTTATTGAGGGAACAGCATGTATGGAAATAGTGTATCGGATTGTAATGCTAACGCCTGCTTATGCTATGCTATGTTGTGCTGTGCCATGCCTTCTTTGGGTATTCCTACGCCTCGCTGTCCAAAATGTCATTTAGTTACTTAGATTCATCACTGGGTGGTGATCGTTGTCTTTTCTCCTCAAGCACCTTGCGCTCAGAATCAACCTCCTTTCTCTGTCTTTCGAGTGCTGCTTGGGCTAGTACCTCTCGTCTACTCATCCCAGCAGTGGAACTGTTCTTCACACCACCCAAGACAAATTCACCACCCGTCCAACCTCCAAAGTCCTCAGGGTAATCCTCCTCTTCCTCATCACGTCCAGAAACAGTATATCGCGATGTTTCACCGATTGTGTGTCCGCCTGATTTCCAATCCGCAGCGTCAACTTCTCTCTCGATCTGATGACACAAGTCCCAGAAGTTTCTATCATGCGGACCATGAACATTATGCGCCAGTTCGTGGCACAATGTCTTGCGAATAGTTTTGTAATCGCGATACCCATCGTGCGCATCTGTTCGTAATCGCAGTTCAATGACCTCGCCTTGATTGCGATTTAATCCCAGAATGCGACTTGTTCCCTCGTGCGTTGTCTGCGTATGCGAAAGAGGTTCCATCTCTGTAAGGAGCCCAACAGCGAATTTGTGCTTTGTCATGGCAGCGCGGATACCAGGGTCCTCCTTCAGCCGCAGAAGAAGTTTCTGACTTCGGTCTGGGTTCGGAAGGTCTTGGAGCGGCCGGACTTGAAGAAATGTATATTGTGAGTCTTGTGGATTTCGGCGCGTCGTCGTCGCATGTCGTGCTTTACTCCTCTGCGCCATCCTCGCGGCATTGCGCTTCGCAACGCGCTCGGCCATATCCTGCACCTGCTGAATCTCGGCAGCGCCAGAGCCCATGAGCGTCAGATGCTTGCCCTTTAGGTCGAGGAGGGGCATGTCGGGATTCTTGAAGGGGGCTTTGAGGAGGGGAGTCTTTGGAGCGATGATCTTTTGGTTTGCGACGGGGATATCGAGACTTGCTTCGATCTCATTGAACAGGTCTGTGATTGTCGCATCTTCGGGGAAGGATAGTTCGTAGGTTGCTTTTCTGTGTGTGATTCGTAGTGTGAGCCAGGACTGCTCGCTGTCGGACATGGGAGAGTCTGCCATGTTTGTACAGCAGCGGAGTGGCGATGGATTCGTTGGAGACGTTATTGTGACGGTTGTTGAAAGAAGTCTCTAAGTGTGGGTTTGCGATTGTATTGAAATGACGTGATGGGAAAAGGTAAGATGATATGGGGAGATATTTGTTTTATAGTGTAGAGTTGGTAAGCAAGAGGGGATTGCTTGTGTCGCGTAGATTGAGCGATGCTATCGTGTTCGGGGACTTTCGGCGTCTGCTTTGTAATACGTCACTTGCACTGCCTGGGCGCCACCTCTAAGCAGACCTACCTAAGCAGATTTAAGGCACTGAAGAATTTACAGTGATGATTATACCATCGGAAATAGTGAATACGGAGTTCTTGGCGAGTACCGATAAGTCCGGCTTTAAAATAGTTAGAATTGAGTTTGTTAATGAAACATTGGAAGAGATTAAGTGTGGCGATGCTTCTCAGTGTGATGATTGTGGGATGCCTCAATTGGTAATGAATAGAAATATCTGAGGTTCTGCAACACAACACAGCCACTGTAGTCATCCCAATACCGATGTGTAACAAGACCAATAAAATCACTCAATTAAACACCGTATTCTTTAACCTACTGACTCCGTATTCGCATCCCAAGATCATCAACAGGTCACGTCGGTCAGCTACCCTAAATCACCGGCCCCGAGATACCCTCTCGTACGAGTGTCACCATATGATAACGACGATCTTATCACTCCCATCACGAGATCCGTTCCGTTGGTTCGCTTCAGAAAAGCACGAACCCGAACCCAAAAGCTTGGATCCGTCTGTCCGTCCGTTCCCGTGTGTGCCACCCGAGCCTCATCACCAGCCTCAGCCTCATCGACATCATCGCTTGCGGTAGATCTCCCGCTTGCAACGACACTATCGACAAAAAAACCGTTGAGATCTTAACACGATCGACCTAATGTTTTAGCTTCTTGTGGCTTATAGCCGAGACGTGAACTATTACCGACTACACTACACTTCACCACTAATAATGAGATGTGATCTGTAGACTTAGATCATGTCCTCGCGCGCGAGTGTCACGTATCACATAATTCTGAGAAACATGCAACAAACTTAAACCCAATTTCAACTCTTTATTTACTCCTACTATACAGAGTACATATAAACCAACACAAAAAAAAGTAAACGAAGTCGTAAACTTCATGCCCCAAAAAACGCCGCTAGATAGGTATGAGACGTGAGAAAAAGCATCGTTCGTCGTAGTCGTCGCCGAATTAGATAATAAGCATTCTTTAAGTGTTTTTTTATACTTATGCTCCTTCCCTGCAAATTACATGTCACTATTGGCTATGCACTTGTCAGATGAGAAAGGCGGACAAAAAAGATAGAAAGGAGTCCGCAGCATAGGGGGGAAAGGGGAGAACACTTACAGTAGTGCCAGTGTGAGATCGCCGTGGATTCTAGCCTTGAGCTCGATTTCGATCTCGAGGTTAAGCTCGAGATGCAAGCTGAGGGCGTCGCTCTTACCGCCGCCTCCCTGCTGTTGCTGCTGCATCTGTTGCTGTTGTTGTTGTTGCTGCTGCTGCTGCTGCATTTGCTGCTGTTGGCGCTGCTGCTGCAACTGCTGGTCTTGCTTCGAAAACTGTTTGCGGCCCTCATCGTCAGATTCTTCGTCGAGCCATGCAGGTCGTCGACGTCTTACATCGGCGACCTTTGCGTTTCCGCGTCTTCCGCCCTTGCGGCCTTGCTCAGCCTGCTGGGGAGGTGTAGCGGGCTCGTTCTCCTCTTCAGACTCGGACTCTGACTCGTCGTCTTCGGAATCTTCCTCCGAGTCTTCTTCGGAGTCATCTTCAGAGTCAAAGTCATCGTCGTCGTCTTCAGAGTCGTCCTCGTCCTCGCTCTCCTCCTTGACGGGCTGGCGCTTCTGCTTGGGCTTGGCCTCTTGGGCGGTCTTTTGGGCCTCGGCCTTTGCTTGCTCTGGCTTCGAGTCGGCGTCATCCTCCTCTTTCTTTACTTCCTCGGGCTTTTTGTCGTCTGCCTTGGCCTCTTCAGGCTTTGAGGCCTCGGGTTTAGATTCCTCTGGCTTTGACTCTTCAGCCTTGGGCTCTTCGGGCTTATCCTGACCAGGTTGCTCAGGCTTGTCCTCCTTGTCGCCGGGTGTCTCAGCCTTTGCGTTCTCGGTGTCGGGCTTGGACTCGTTCTTAGCATCCTCAGGCTTGGACTCAGACTCTTGACCTGGCTGTTGCTGTTGAGCCTCTTGTCCCTGTCCCTGGTTCTGGCTCTGCTCCTCTTGCTGGCCCTCGTTCTGGTTCTGGTTGAAAGGGTTGCTGTCGTTACCCTGCTCCTGCTGGTTCTGGCCTTGACCAGGAGACTGAGGAGCCTGAGATTCGTCTCGCTTCTGCGAGTCCTGGAGGAATTTAATTCCCGATCAGAGAATACAAACTAGTAGCACAACTTACCTGCTGAGATGGAGAAGACATGGTTGTGTATGGTAGTATTTACTTCGCTGAATGAATAATGGGTTTCCAAAAAATAAACAATGACTTATTTGCTTGCTGCTGACACGTTATAATTAAGTTGAAGTTTTTCTATACTAAAGTCCCAAGCATGGTTTTTGAGATTAATACGTGTCGAGTCCGAAACCTGTTGAAGATGCTTGACTGACGCAATAAGTGTCATTGTATCCGACCTCGAACCCTTGAAGAACCGGTTTCTATCGTTGCGATGGGATTGGAAACGAATTTCGACGTGACAGGTCAAAGTGACGTAAAAAATGGCATCCCAATCCTGGCCATATGACGTTACCCCCTCCCCTCTACTCCCAGCTTGACCTGATGGGGGTGGGAGTGTAGAGAGGGTTGCAGGGATCAGGATTATATGCGTGTGGCTGGTGTTGAGAGAAATGTATGGGTCAAGATCCTACAAAGTGGACTGGACGTCATGCAGTCTGGGTGAGAGGGTCTTGCTGCTGCTGTCAAACATACCCTTTCACAATACGATACGCGGCAGCAAAAAAAACCAAGTCCAAAGAGAACAAAGCAGATCAGGAAAACATGGTTATCGGATTGCTTGCCATCGCGGCTATCCCAACCGTTACAGGCGTGGGTAACGCCGTGAGTGCGCAGAAGAGACAGAATGAGAGCATGAGCAAGGAACAAGAAAAGTTCCACCTCACGTTCATGCTACAGCAGAATGGAAAGATAGAAGAGGTTGGCCAAGGAGTTCTCGTGGACAAGAAGGTGAGTTTCCTTGCCCTCTCACTTCACTAGACACATACACATTCTCACACACAAACACCAGATGTATCTCAACCTGTCAGATGCCCCCGTGCAAGGCTACAGATTTCTAGGCTGGTATTTCAAGTATCCCAGCGAGGAAGGGCACCTGGGGCTGGTGAGCATGGTGTCTGACGACCCGCCAGCGCTGAACTGGATATTCGTGGACAAGGACACGCACATGGTGACCTTTGGGGGGAAGAAGGACACCATCGGGCACGTCATAGGACCCTGGGGCTGGACAGCAGATGAGCGCTTCCTGACGCTGCAGGGAGATCATGATTCGTTTGTGGCGGTGCGGGACGAAGATGGGAAATGGGCTGTCTATTGGGACCCGGAGGGTGATATTGAGGACGAGATTGACGATGAGGAGAGATGTCAGCCAGTGAGACTGAGGAGAAGACCGCAGCTCGGCATGGAAAGCAGTTATGTCAAGAAATAGCATGGTATGACTTGACTTGACTTGGCTTGGCTGGGGTAGTCTAGCGAATGTCTGGGGGACCGTTAATGGCCGTTGGAGACAGAATCGTAGTGGAGGGGTCAAGTCACATAAAGTGGGTTGGGTTGAGCAGGGTATTTTACTGGATTCTCATCTCGATCATGACCTCATGGGCCTCTAAATCCTGTTATGAGATTCTGTGTAGTTTCAAACTTATATCATGTCCCGTTCTTTAAGTTTCTTTAATTTCTCCAAAGCTGTAACTTTTTTAGTGAGATATCCAAACCATACTAATCCACTTACACCACCAACACCAACACCAACACTCAATATTTACATCTTAAGCAAGCGACTCTTTTAATTCATCATGTCTTCCATGGAAAAGGACCGCATCGAGTCTGACGACCAGACCATGTCCAGCGAAGAAGCGCCCCGACGAGAGCGCCGCAGCAAGAAGAAGGGCAGCAAGCGCCGCCAGCAAGCACCACCCCAACAGCAGCAGCAGCAGGGCGGAGGATCTGGACCTCTCGACCAGCTGCCTCTCGCCGGAGACCTGGGCAACACAGTCGGCGGCGTCACAGACGGCGTGACCAACACCCTAGGCGGCGTCACGGGCGGTCTGGGCGGTCTCACGGGCGGTCAGCAGCAGGGCGGCGGCGGTGATGCTGGTAAAGACACGCTGCGACTGCGCCTGGATCTCAACCTCGACATTGAGATCCAGCTCAAGGCTCGTATCCACGGTGATCTCGAGCTCTCTCTACTGTACGTGATAACTCCCCAATCTTTCCTTAAAAACTTGTCCCTGTGGCCGTCGTATCTTACTTGGCTTGCAAATCTCCAGAACGGGATAGACGCCGCCGTGTGTTGTTTTGATGACAAGCAGAGGCTAATTATCGCTTTGCGCTGTGCAGAAACTAGAGATTGGCACTATTTGTTTAGGCTATGTTTATGTTTGGCTTTGTTCTGTTCGTGTCATGATGGGACCCATGTAATGTTACTGTTAGTACGACAGCACGACGATCTGTGGCGGCGCAACATGGTGTTTATTAATGATGGTTTACTACTGCTGTTTCTGGGAGGGATAAATACAACAACACTACAACGTTATATATTACATGAATCCAAAAGCATTCACTCTCTACTCTGATTCTTTGTGAACACCGTATAATAGTAGATATTCACAGTACTCACACTGAGTGAGAACAGAGTGACGAAAATGAAAGAACATGTCAGTTTGAAAATTCCCCGACACTAACCAAAACGTCAGATTGCATCAAACTACAAGGATGTAGTTGGCACCCAGCAAGCCACACACGATAATGCCACGCAAGCCACCTCCAACACCGTCCTCTTCAAGTCTAGCCCAACCGTTCCAGCCAGGAACCAGCTTCAGACAAAGCTTGGTCCAGGGTGGAAGCAGGGACTAGGTTTTGTAGCAGCTCCCACCAATCAGTTGTCGTTAATCAGTTGAAAGCCAGGGTTCACACTTTTAGCTGTCTTGTCTCATCTTGCTCACATCCCTGCTAGTCTCTTGTTCCCGGGTGGCCCGCGATCGTGATGAGCGCGGACGATCAGAGAAACTCGACCAGAATATTTCCAGAGTTACATCTTGTTTTTCACCTTGGTCTTCTTCTCAAAATGCGGCTCTCATCTGTTACAGCTAGTTAGTTAGACACAGGGGTTCAAATCAGATACACTTTACACTAAAGAAATAGGGGGCGTTGCCCGTTTCTTTTCTCTGACTCTGCACTGCAGCTAATAAATTCAGACAGCACTAAACAAAAGGTCAAGCCCCATTTCGAGGTTTCCAAGTTTCATGCATGAAGAGGCTGTCGTCATGTCCCCGCACAAACCAAGCTCTACCAGCCACACGTCAACATCAAAGCAGTCCTTTTGGCACGGCGCTGGCATCAGGTCTGCACTCTCCTCTGCCATCTCCATATTCCAGCCTGGAACCTCGAGACCCAGCAGACCCCCAAAACAGGTCCAGGATCAGCAGCAGCTACAGCACCAGGAAAAACTCCAGCCTCACCTCGAGGATCATCAGCCTCAGGAACAACCTGATCACATCCCAATGTCGCCTTCTTCTTCTTCTTCATCACCCACCCCTGATGGCGATCCTACGCACAGCACTTACGAGGTCAATGTTCCTGTCCGCAATGGACGAACATCTGAACCAAAAGTCTCAAACCCTGAGATTCGCATACCAAGGATAGCGCCAGTATCAGAGAGCACAGACCAGACACATGCACACTCAGACTCAGACTCAAAAACACAACCACAGCCACAACCACAGTCCTCACCTGAAAAGCTGGCTGCTGGCCTAGACGGCAAATACATCGATGAGTTTGGCAACATTCTAGACTGGGACGGTACTGTCCTCGGCCGTGTAGAAGGCGATCTCCCGTCCATGGTAGGACGGCCAGTCATGCCGAATGGACAGGTCCTCGACGAGGACGGCGAAGTGGCTGGCCACGTCCGCGAGAACTACATCAAGCCTGCTCTCAAGCCACTTGCAGCAGGTGGACTCAAAGTCGATGATGAAGGAAACATCTATGATGACCAGGGCAACAGGATTGGCAAGCTCGATAAGCCGATGCCGTCCCAGGACGGAACCGACAAACTTCCCGAGAACAAGGACAAGGAGAGGGAACAGGCCCAGGGTGCTGGGGGTACTAACAATGCTGCAAATGCTCCAAAGCCACCGGGTGCTCCAAGGCCTGACGAGCTGTTCCTAGACGTCAAGTCCACCTATGATGGTATTCAGCTCATCATCAAGATTCCTACTGTCTTCAATAGAAACCTTGTAACCGAGACAAAGAGCAGTGGTAGTCAGACTGAGACAAAGGATAGCGATAATCGATAATCTACTTATTTCTTTTTTTTCTTGGTGCGTTTCACAATTATCCAATCTTCTCCATAAACACCCCCATGCAAAATTGACTACATACACTCATGTAAGGCAAAGAAAGGTAAGGGTAAGCCAAGCCAACCAAGGCAAAGCAAGCATATGCATCCCATTCGTATGAGTGAAAGTGGACAATAAACGCTCCTCCACACCTCGGAATAAGTAAACCTCATGGGGTAACCCCTCCCCGTCACGCTAGATTAGTTCATCATTCACTCACTCTTGCTGCACATTTGCCATCTCAAAGTTCCAGTTGGACCTCAGAAACCCGGTTGTCTTCTTTTTTTTTTTTTGGAGGCTACCGCTACTGCAACACGCAACCCCTTCTTCTAGATCCCCCCTCACTACTAGACAGACCCAGTTTCTCATCTCGATCCATACCCTGAATGTGCAAGCTCCGTCTCGTAGATGGTGTGCATCCTCCACCCCGCAAGCCTGTTTTCACAACCGCTGGACATTCTCGTCGGGAAGGTAGAGCAGCCTCAACCTGGGCCTGCAAGCCTGGGAGGCACTTACACGGTACCTCTGCGTCTAAAGCTCTCTCCCCCCCAGTGCTCATTGTGTAACATATCCATGTTAGGAGAGCTCCTCATAACGTCATCCAACAGCTCTCGCCACACCCTCCCCGCGCTTAGATCTTCACCATGACGTGTGGCTGTTGCAGCTTGCTCGTCTGATAGCAAGGTGCGGCGCAGTATCATGGCTAGAAAGCAAAAAGTTGGGCTCACACTGACGTTGTGACTTTTGAATTGACGTGATCGAAATCGAGAATGGCCTGGCCTGGTAGTAAAACTTGTTTTGTATAAGCCGTGTGTCGGTATAAGTAGTTGAAGATGTGGTGGTGGTTGCGGTTTCGACAAAAGTATCAATTTCTTCCATTCTTGGCCAACTTGCGAAGCGATACCCAAAACAACAATAACAATAACAATAACAATTCCCAACTAACACAACGATACCCCATTAATCCTCTCTTATCTGAAAGATACCCTTTTCTCGATCTTGAAGGAGTTGAACCAGTCCAAAACTACCACAACATCATGGCAGACCTCTCCTCCCAGGTTCAAGACACAACAAAAGATACTGCCTCTTCCAAAGAGCAGGAATCCCCTGGTGCGTTCAATAGTCCTTCACCAAGTTTGGCGCTTATCGTCCCCATTGCAGTCAATCTTGAGTCAGTCCCCAGGAGCGGTGCTGGCGTCGTGAATGATGCCGGAGAAGTCTTAGATGACGCCGGCAAGACCGTCGGCAAGATCGCCGACACCGATAACCTCCAGAACCTCGTTGGCAACACCGTCAACCAAGCCGGTGATGTTGTCAGCTCTTCAGGCGATGTCCTCGGCAAGACCCTGCCCATAGGACAAGGCAAGCCTGAGGAGGAAGAGGATTCCCACGACGAGGAAAAGAGTGAATACACAACCCAGTCCAAAGAGAAGAAGTCTGGTGGTCTGGGAAGCGCCCTCGGTAGCGTTACCGGCACCGTTGGAAAGGCTGTTGGAGGAGCTACAGGAGCTGTTGGCGACACAACGAAGGGTGCCACAGATACCGTCGGCGACACAGCAAAGGGAGCTACAGACAGCGTTGGCCTCGGCGACACAGTAAAGGGGGCTACAGACACCGTTGGCGACACAGCGAAGGATGCCACAGATACTGTTGGCGACACCGCAGAGGGCGCCACAGACACCGTTGGCGGTGCGACTGAGGGCATTGCCAACAAGTCAGAAGCCACCTCCCAAGCTACCGACACAAAGACACCAGCCGAGACTCCTGGAGCCCCAGAGGTCAAGGATGAGACACCTGATGTCAAGTCCGTGGACCAAGACCAGAGGGACATCAGCCTCGAGGACCGCGACGCTCCTGAAGCTGGAGATAAGCTGAAGGAGATTCCCCCAGAGTCCGAGGAGGCCAAGGAGGCAACCGATAAGGCAGAGGAGACTGCTGAGGGTGTTCCTGAACAAGCCAAGGATATCCCTGAGGAGGCCAAGGAGGACGTTGCCTCCAAGGTCGACGAACAGGATGTTCCCAAGCCTGAGGATGTCGAGGAGAAGCTTCAGGAGAAGACTGAGGGTGCCGAGGACGAGGTTCCCAAGTCTGAGGTTGCTGACGAGATCCCCAGCGGTGAAACCCCTGGTGATGACGGTGACAAGTCCAAGGCTGGTGATGACCTGAAGTCTGTCGCTCCCGGCGAGGAGGCTGCTGGTGTCACCGATGAGGTCCAGGACAAGGCTGCCGAAGGCGAGGAAGCCGCTAAGGATCTACCTGAGGATGCCCAAAGCAAGGCCGCCGAGGGTCAAGAAGCCGCTGAGGGCAAGGTTGCTGAGGGTGAGGAAGCTGCTGCTGACCTCCCCGAGGACGCCAAGAGCAAGGCAGCCGAGGGTGAAGAGACTGCTGAAGGCAAACTTGCCGAAGGCGAGGATGCTGCTAAGGATCTTCCCGAAGACGCCCAGAGCAAGGCCGCTGAAGGCGAGGAGACTGCCGAGGGCAAGGTTGCTGAGGGCGAGGAAGTCGCTGGCGATGTCACCGAGGAGGCCAAGGACAAGGCCGCCGAAGGTGAAGAGGCTGTTGAAGAGAAGGCTGCTGAGGGCGAGGAGGCTGCCAAGGAGCTCGACTTCTCCATCCTCAAGGGCACTACTGTCGACAAGGAGGGCAACCTCGTCAACGAGAAGGGCGACAAGCTTGGCAAGGTTGTCGAGGGAGAGCTCAAGCAACTCATCGGTCTCAGCAGTGACGACCAAGGTGTCATCTGGGACAAGACCGGCAAGCAGCTCGGAAAGGCTGAGCCCATCCCCGAGTGGGACCGCGAGCAGCTTGACTTCTCCGTCCTCAAGGGTACCACCGTCGACAAGGAGGGTAACCTCGTCAACGACAAGGGCCACCTCATCGGCAAGGTCACTGAGGGCGAGATTAAGCAACTCATTGGCCTCACTGCTGATGAGCAGGGCACCATTTGGGACAAGACTGGCAAGAAGGTCGGAAAGGCCGAGCCTCTTCCTGAGTGGGAGCGTGGTGAGCAGAAGGATTACAGCATCCTAAAGGGCACCACTGTTGACAAGAACGGAAACCTCGTTAATGAGAAGGGTCACCTCTTCGGTAAGGTCGTCGAGGGAGAGATCAAGCAGCTCATCGGCTTGGCTTCTGATGACCAGGGTACCATCTGGGACAAGACTGGTAAGGCCGTTGGTAAGGCTGAGCCTCTTCCCGAATGGGAGCGCGGTGAGCAGAAGGACTTCTCTATCCTCAAGGGAGCTGTTGTCGACAAGGAGGGTGGTCTCACCAACGACAAGGGAGACACCATCGGCAAGGTCACCGAGGGCGAGGTCCGACAGCTCGTTGGTCTCAAGTCTGACGAGAACGGCAAGATCTGGAGAGATGGCAAGGTTGTCGGCCAGGCCGAGCCCCTCGCTGAGTGGGACCGCGTCCAGAAGAAGGACCGCTCTATCCTCAAGGGCGCCAAGGTCAACAAGGTCGGCAAGCTCGTCGACGCCAACGGTACAGTTGTCGGCAAGGTTGTTGAGGGTGAACTGAAGGAGCTTATTGGCAAGCGCGCCGATGAGAACGGTGACATCTGGAACGACTCCGGCGAGGTCATCGGTAAGGGTGAGCCTGTCTCCATCTCTGAGCGTGAGGACAAGGCATCCGCTCCCTTCGAGCACTTCCCCGGCGCCACCGTCGAGTCTGACGGCCGTGTCATGTACCAGGGCGAGCAGGTTGGTGAGGTCGTTGAGGGTGATCCCAAGCAGCTCAAGGGCAGTCAGGTCGATGAGGATGGTGACATTCTCGACCGCCGTGGTAACACTATCGGTAAGGCCAAGCGCTGGGAAGCTCCTGAGGTTGAGGAGGAGAAGCCCGTCGACAACTCTGCTCTTGCTGGCAAGCGCGTCAACAAGGCCGGTAACCTCGTCAGCGAGTCTGGCGAGATCTACGGCCGTGTCATCGAGGGTGATGTCCAGAAGCTTGTTGGACGCATGTCTGACAAGGATGGAAACATCCGAAGCGAGTCTGGCGACATTATTGGCAAGGCCGAGCTCGTCTCTGAGGGTGAGCGCGGCGGCAAGAAGGAGGGCCCCTTCGCTCAGCTCAAGAACTGCACCGTCGGCAAGGATGGTAAGGTCGTCAACGGAGCTGGCGAGGTTGTTGGCAAGCTTGTCATTGGTGACGCTAAGGCTCTTGCTGGACGTGCTGTTGATGATGACGGTGAGATCACTGACTCCAACGGCAATGTCATCGGTAAGGCTGAGCGCTGGGAGGAGCCTGAGAAGGAGCAGAAGCACAACCCTCTCGCTGGCCGAAAGGTGAACCGCGAGGGTAACGTCGTCGACGCTGATGGCAACATCATCGGCAAGCTTACCAGCGGTGAGCTCCTCGACTGTGCTGGCAAGGAGATCGACGAGGATGGCGATGTCTTCAACCAGAAGGGATCCGTCATCGGTCACGTCTCTCTTCTCGAGGATATCCCCAAGGAGGAGGAGCCCGAGCCTGAGGGTGAGACTGAGGAAGAGAGACTCAAGCGCGAGCAGGCTGAGGCCGACGAGGCCAAGCAGACTGAGGAGGCTGAGAAGAACAAGAAGCTTGCTCAGCAACTGGCTTACCAGATTGAGCAGACTCTTGAGAGGCTCCGACCCATCTGCAAGTCCATCAACGACAAGATCAGCGCTGCTGAGGCTCAGAAGCCCGAGGATCGTGATGAGGAGGAACTCGTCCGACAGGTCAAGCCTCTCATCGAGGATGGTGGTAAGATCCTGACCGAGACCAACGGTATCATCCGTGGTCTTGACCCCGATGGCCGTATCGCTCGCAACGCCAAGCAGAAGACTGCTGGTGGTGAGGCCACTCCCGAGGAGGCTCACCTCGCCAACTTGCTCAAGGAGGTCAGTATCACGTTCCCATACCCTGAAGCATTCGCTAACAAGATAACAGCTCTCTACTGAGATTCAAACCACCATTGAAGAGGGTAAGCGTAA